ATGTGAGAACCTTTGAAAATATGGCTGTGTTGCATGGATACTCTGATTCTGTTTGTTGTAGGGCATTTTTGTCGACCTTGCGCGGAGGAGCACTCGATTGGTTTCACCAACTCCCCCCTGGGTCGATTGCGGACTTTGAGGATTTTACCAGCAAGCTTACCAATCAATATTCGTGCGCGGTGGCGCAAGAGAAGACGTATTTGACCTTGATGGCGATGAGGCAGGGGGAGAAGGAATCGTTGAGAAAGTAAGTTGCCCGATATAATCATACGTGTTTAGAGGTCCACTCGGCTTCAGATGAGGTGAAGGCGGGAGGATTGGTAAGGAGTCTTCGAGCAGGGCCTTGTCGAACTTCTTTGGCAAAGACTCCGGCTCGATCATATGAGGATGTTCTGAAGCGGTGCAGGAAGTATATTAATTTGGAGGAGATGGAGATGGAGTTTGCAAAGCTGGAAGGAGTGGCTCTGTCGGAGCCAAAAAAGGAGAAAAGCCCGCAAAGAGGGAGATCGCCGAGGAGAAGTTTGCCCAAGCGGAGTGGGCAGAAGAGGGCATCACCCCGAAGAGAGAGTCAAGACTCGAAAGGAGAGAAGAGAAATGAGTGACAGAGGAGGCCGATGTTGTTCGAAAGAAAGAGATACCAAACTTTTACGCCCTTGAGGAAAGACATGACAGAGGTCCTCGAGGCCATGGAGCAGAAGATGCCGAGCGAGGATGTGACTTGGCCAAAGACGAGGTTCACATGCCCGATTCGACCTAGGTCAGATATCTACTGTCGTTTTCACCGAGATTATGGTCACACCACGGAGAACTGTAGACATTTGAAAGATGAGATCGAGAGGTTGATTCGAGCAGGATATTTGAAAGAATTTGTGTATCACGATAGGGTGAAATGGAAAGGAAGGAGAAGGTGTAGGGAGGACTCGGAGAAAAGGAGTGATAGAGATGAGGAGGGAGATGGCGGAGATGGTCGAGATGGTCGAGGAAAGAAGCCGAGGAGAGATGGCAATAAGGGAGGGCATGGAGGAGAAGCCCCGATGAAAAGAGGGACGATTTACATGATTTCCGGTGGGCCAACGGATGGTGACTCAAATCGGGCCAGGAAGGAGCATGCTCGAGCTGTGAAGAGGAAGAGAGAGGAGGTGGGGATTACGGCTCGCATGCCGGTGATAATTTTTAAGGCGGAGGATGCCGAGGGGGTGGTCCTGCCGCACAACGATGCTTTGGTGATAACCACGGAGGTCACAGGCTTCGATGTGAAAAGGGTGTTTATTGATACCGGGAGTTCAGTGGACGTGATGTTCTACGACTGTTTTGTGCAAATTAACAAGGAGCTGAATATGTAGTTGAAACCGGT